TATTTTAAAGTCCACTTATATATATATATATATATATATATATATATATATATATATATATATATATATATATATGATACATTAATCACAATATATTTTTGACCAAATTGTTCAGCTCTATACTAAAATATAAATGAATAAAAAATTTATAATTTAAAAATAAACACAATTAAAATAAAACACTTATACTAAAAAACAAATGCTAAAAAGAACATATTATTATTATTATTACCTTTATTTAACCAGGAAAAGACTCACTGAGATTAAAATCTCTTTTCCAGGAGTGTTCTGGCCAAGATAGGCAGCCAAGTTTGCAAATATAAATAAACAACTTAGTTACAACAAACAAACAAATAACCGTTTAAAAACAATTGCACATCATTAAGTTGCTCTATAGATTACGTAATAAAAACTTAAAATAATTATAAGACACCAAGTTTGGTAACTTCATCTCCTTTTGGAGGAGATTCCAATCTGAAGGTTTTACCAAGCCCAGTTCTGACAAGGGGCACACAAAGATTATAATTATATATTTAATTATCTGTTTGCCTGCATGTCCTATGACCATTAACCGACATCAGAGAACCACGAACATGTGAATGTGCTGTTAAATGATTGAAATATTAATTAAAAATCACCAGGGACTTCGAGAAAATATTTTATATTCTATAGTCAAGAAAGACTGTTAAGCACTGTTATAATGTAATATATATATATATAATGTAATAATGTAATATATGAAAGAGGATGATACGAGCTTGTGCTAAACAGAAAACTAAGCGTGAAATCAGCCAATCAAAAATGTCCTAGTGCCTCAGGACACGTAAACCCTACAAATTGCAGCATCTCCACACTCCAGCTCAGTAGGTGGCGGTGTTTTATCTTTAAGCTGATTTGCCAACTGCTAATAATCGTTAGAAGAAGACAACGACGACCAGTCAGTCCTTTCAAACAAAAATGGCAGCGCTCGTGCCGGAGGTGTTGACGAGTACACACGTGGAGAAAATGAACAAGAAAAAGGTGTATATGATCATTCATTGCTCTGGCTACAATGTTATCCGCTTTTACATATCGGTATAAATGTCTTTGTTGATGTCGGATGTTTACAGTAAAGATTTTGTCAAAAACAAAACTCATTGCTTGTTGATTTCAGCGACTTTATTATTTATTAAAAATTATACTCAACAATTGTTCGTGATCTTTTTGATAGAATGGAGTAAATCTACCGCTTACAAAATGTACTGTGAAGCTGATGGTATCATATATCGTTAGCTAATATGCTAATTTGTTTTACCATAGTACTGAATAAATGTCATATTAACTATAGGTACTCTCCTGTCTAACGTTACATGATATTCCTATGGATTTCAATGACTTGAATGCACTTTTGTAATGAGCATGCTTTTAATTAATATTCATTGTTATATTTTAGGCTGATGCATTTGTCACAATATTGTAATGAAGGTCTTATTGATTATATTAAAACAAGAACTTTAAAAAGTTTAAAATAATATTGTATTATTATGCTTTAAAAACAATTCTTAATAAAAAGTATGACTACTGAAAACGCATCTTAATTCAATGTAGAAACAGAGCCGAAGTTAGGCGTATGTAACCAATGAAAATAAAACAAAGAAGACAGGAATAGAATGAAATAGACAGTTGCAGACACTCATGACTCTGTATTTCTAAGAACTAGATGTTTCCTTATTTTTCCTTAGTGACAGTCTTATTTGTTATTTATTTGTTACATTTATGAATTTGATTGGCTTTTTCTCACTCAGCCTCCAAAACGATATTGGGAAGAAACAGACCAAAGGAGACCAGAGGAAGAACAAGGTACAGCTGTTCAGAACCAGAATAAAGCAACAGTAAAAGAAAGGTCATTAAAAAGGAAGGATGGTGAAAGTTTGGAGGTAAGAGTATTTTTCCATTCAGTGAAATATTTGAACAGTAGTTCTCTAGTATGCTGTTAAAAGCTTGAAATCGGAGTGCTTTTAATAGTTAACATTTTTTGTGAGTTTTAAAGGGGCATCAAGTGGTTTTTGTTTGTTGTGCCTTGTTTCACTGTGTAGTATACTGATATCTATGAGCACATATGGAGCATCAAACAAATAGAAGTATTGATGTGTTGAATACATGAATGGTACTTTGGATAAATACGTTTGCAGTTATTTCTTTAAAAATAAAAATAATATTTATATTTTATTATTTTATATTTATTATTATATTATTGCAGTTATTTCTTTCAAAAAATAATTTCAACTTGAGTTAGAATTTTTGCTAACAATTAATTGTCATTCAAATAATTGCTAATGATTAAAGGAATAGTTTGCTGAAAATTGACTTACCCTCAGGCCATCCAAGATGAGTTTGTTTCTTCATTAGAACAGATTTGGAGAAAATTAGCATTACATCACTTGCTTACCAGTGAATTTTCTGCAGTGACTAATAAAAACAAACAAACTCATCTATGTCTTGAATGACCTGTGGGTATATTAGGCTGACACTTTTTGCCTTTATGTATGGATCTATTATACAGGCATCCAATTTTCTCCAAACTTTCTATGTTCACTTAAGATATAACCGACTGTGTTTACAAGGATTCTCACTAAGACATGCATTCAGGCATTTTTTAAAATGTATTTGTCTGTTCAAGTGCAATAAGATGTGAATGAGAGAACTCAGATTGGTTTTCGCACACAGTCTGAGAGGCTACTTTGAGTGCACAGAAAACCGTGGTCAAGTGCCAAATTGAGTGCTTTCACATCGTCTTGTACTTAAATGGTTTGAAATCACTTGAATGTTTAAATTGGCAAGACCTAAAAAGACAGTTCTTGTTGTTGAGCTCTGTTCATACACAAGAAGTCATTAAATTATATAATAAAATAGGCCTAATAGATTTTCTAGAACAGAAGTGTTCTGTTCTGCATATGCTGGACTTTTGCTATTAAGCCAAAATATGAGTTAAAATGGGGATTTTTTTAAACGGTTACTTTATAGTTTTAGAGACATGATAAACAAAACTTACTGTTCATAACAATTATAAATTTAGTATTACCTCATTGGTGGACTTGAATAGGGTTGGACTTGGTCCTGGTGCCCCAGCGCTGTTCGGCATGATGTTTTATATCCCCGACAACCTCTGTAGTCCCATTTAGACACATGTATTTTAAAAAAGCAGTTGCTAGCAAGTAGGAACTTTAAAAAACACACAAGGAGTATTACTGATGTATTTTATGTTGTAGAATAAAACATGAAAATACATTGAGCTTGCATTAACCACAGACTTTATTTTAGGCATTTAACCAAAAACCCATTCCAAAAAACTATAGACTTCAGGAAGATGGAACAGGAAATGCTAAAATGCTTGTTTCTGGGTTTTGGACTACAAAAATACGCTATCCCTGTAGCGCTCAACAGAATAGAAATGTATAATTCTGCTTATCTGAGGAAAAAAATCACTATAAAGGGGTACCTTGATTACAAATTATTTAGGAACCACTGCTTTAAAAATGAAATTTCTCATATTTGGATGGCAAAATAATTAAATTTAAAATGGACCTTTATTGTGGTTATCTCAAATAATTGCAATCGATCAATTTAACAGTCACCAACATCCTAACTTAAGCAGTTGTATTAATTAATTGTTTTAATTGCTCTTTTTAGTTTCACATGTCATTTAAATGCTTCTGCTTCAACTGTCTGGCCTGATTTGACAAAATTTGACCATAGTCAAAAAGTCAGTATTTCAACTTTCTGTTGGCTTATGTTGTAAATTTAGAAAAAGGACCCTTTTCCTGGTGAGGCTCCTATACCACATAAGCAACTCCAGAAGTTTCAGAGAGGAGAGAAATACAAAGTGGTAAGTCTAAATTCTTCATAAAAAAAAAGTGTTATACTTACAACATCGTCAAAATGTTTTCCTATATTATTTTAATGTTTCTGTTTTGAGTTTATTTGGCATGTAAAAATGGATGCAAGTCACTGTTAGGGGTGGACAATGTGAACAATTTTTACATCTCTATATTTTTCTGCAAACACTTTTGAAGTAATTTTTAACAGTCAGCCCTGAATTTTTTAGTTTTTATTAAAGCAAACATTAAAAAACTTACATAGGAATGGTATTAAAACACAAACCAGTGCTTTTCTATTGCTGGAAATAAGATACCATTGAAATGGTATCTACTGTATAACCAGTGGTATATCTCAATACCAATTTCGATACCACAGAAAAAAATATTTTTACCTTAATATGTTGATAATCCAGTACTGATGATGAAAACATGAAAGAAACAAAACTTTAAATATAATATAATTATATGTAAAATTGCACACAAATGTCTAGGAATGCCATTTTACTGTTTTCCACAGTAAATTATATGGTAGTTCATAGTTTTTTAACATAAACCATACATTTGACCATTATTTTAGAGTAAAATTACATATAATGTGATGTTACAACCATTTAAATTTTTTCGCTATATATCGGCTTCTACCCGAGACACAGTGCGGTTTCCGTAAAGAGCGTGGCATGGTGGACATGATCTTTGCAGCCCGACAGCTCCAGGAGAAGTGTCAAGAGCAGAATCGTGAACTGTGCACCATCTTCGTGGATCTCACCAAGGCTTTTGACAATGTCAGTCGCGAAGGTCTGTGGCGCATTATGTCGAAGTTTGGGTGCCCTGATAGATTCATTCTGATGGTACGTCAGTTCCACGACGGCATGATGGCTCGTGTTCTGGATGACGGAAAAGCTTCAGAGGCCTTTCCCTTCACAAACGGCGTCAAGCAAGGGTGCGTGTTGGCACCGACCCTGTTCAGCATGATGTTTTCAGCCATGCTGTCAAGACGCCTTTCAGAACAGTTCCTTGGGAGTCAGCCTGAGATATAGGACAGATGGGAAAATGTTCAACCTGCGAAGACTCCAGGCTGTCACCGAGATAAAGGAGACTATGCTACGAGACCTCCTTTTTGCTGACGACTGTGCCCTGACTGCTGGATCAGAGCAGGAAATGCAAGCCAGCATGGACAAATTCACAGCAGCATGCGACAACTTTGGCCTCCTTATTAACACAAAGAAAACCGAAGTGATGCGCCAGCTCCGAAAGCCCACCATCACAGTGAATGGACAAAAGCTGCAAGCAGGGGACCAATTTACATACCTTGGCAGCACCCTCTCCCGCGCAGTGACAATTGACATCGAAGTCAACTGCAGAATTGCCAAGGCAAGCTCTGCATTCGGCGGACCAACATGTGGGACCGCCATGGAATAAGCCTTGCTACAAAGCTTAAAGTCTACCGGGCAGTAGTGCTGACTACCCTGATGTATGCCAGTGAGACTTGGACTGTATACAGGAGGCACGCTAGGCAATTGAACCACTTCCACACGACTTGCCCCTGCAGACTTCTGAGGATCAGGTGGCAGGACAAGGTGCCAGACACAGAAGTCCTCTCCAGAGCAGTTCACACCCTGCTGATGAAAGCCCAGACACGCTGGGCAAGGAAAGCGATTGCACGGTGGACAAAAGAAGCGATACAAAAATACGCTGAAAGCCTCTCTCAAGTCCCTGGATATTGACACCACCTCCTGGGAAACCCTGGCACAAGATCGATCGACATGGCGCACGCTGATCCACCAAGGCTGCCAGACATCTGAAGCTAGAAGAACAACTATAGCACAAGAGAAGCGAGCACTCCGTAAAGCCAGAGCTGCAAATGCTGCAACAGTGGTGCCTACACATGTCTGCCCGACATGCGGCAGATCATTCCGTGCCCCTATCGGCCTTACCAGCCACCTGCAGACACACCGTGGACAGCCCACAACCCGTTAGATGTCTAGGTCCTCTTCGAAAATGATGGACCAACATTAAATTAAACAACCATTTAAATTTTTTCACTAAATATGGCAAGGTAACATAGTTAACCAATTAACAACCACTTTACGGTAATTTTATGTTACAATTTTGAAATAAATTCACAGTCTAGTCTGTAAGACACATAGTGAATAGAATTTTTTTCAGTACTAAGTGTGTCTTTTTGTGGTTTGACAGCTTAAAATCTATGCTACATAAATGGAAATGGCATAACATATCAACTTTTTTAATCTTCAGTTTGTTTGGTCACATTTTTTTTCATACACCAAACTTCAAACCCCTTGATGCTATTGATTGCATCTTGGATGTGAGCACACAACTACATTATAAAAATGCGAACACGTTTTTTTCCCTTGTTGCGATATGGTGGGGGTGAAACCTGACCTGGACACGATTTTAGTAGAATTTGTGAGATTCACCCAAATAACTTAGAAACATCATCTGAATCTGTACAAGGACTACTTTTCATGTTTTCAAATTATTTCACTCTGCTTTTATGTGTCAGCCTGCAGGAGCCCGTCGAAGGCTGAAAGAAGCCATTATATCCTCTGAGGCCATGTCTGAACTTGCTCAGAAACAGGCTGCGAGATATGATCTTTTACTTCCAGAGGATGCTGGGTAATGCAGTTCACACATTGTCATTCTTTTTTTCATCTGCCACATTGACTATAAACCCTCAGAAGTATTAAAAGAAGAGTTCAACAAAAATGTAAATTATTACATCACCTTCTTATAATTTTAAATATGATTTTCTTATGTGTAACACAAAATGAGAAAGGAGAATGTGAAATGCAGTTCACACATTGTCATTCTTTTTTTCATCTGCCACATTGACTATAAACCCTCAGAAGTATTAAAAGTAACAAAAATGTAAATTATTACATCACCTTCTTATAATTTTAAATATGATTTTCTTATGTGTAACACAAAATGAGAAAGGAGAATGTGATTGTCCAAGCTGCTCTATTTCTATACAATAAAAGTAAATGTGGATTGTGACTGTTAAAAGTAGCACAACAAAAGTAGTCCATGTGACTTTGGTGCTATATTGCAAGTAGTGGTCGAACAATATAGATTTTTTGACTGCTGATATCTTAAACAGCAGGGTCACACTATTTAATATAAAGATAGTAAAAACACATTTATAAATATTTGTGAAAAGTTCCATTTAGATATTTAAGCTCAGGGTTAGTGATCAATTCAAACAGAGGAACGGTCATGCACATGCACTAATTTTTACGCAGTCTACAAATGCCCGCTAAAAGTTCTGCATAATAATTTATTAGTCAGAACTGTGTAACAGAGACGGTAAACTAGAGAATGGGAGCTTCGTGCACTCAGGTGCTGGCGTTCTTGCCACCGTCAATGTAAAATTCCTGCTTCCCTCAACATATTGGCCAAACAAAAATATCAGCCAATATATCTTCTTTATCTTGTTTGAATATGTATCTAAATAACTTACAAACAGTGTTTTTAAATGTGTTCCACACACAAAGAAGTTCTGCAGATGTAGTGGTTAAAACAATGCTGCTTTAGCTTGGTACACACGCATACCAAACCAAAGTTTTTGTGGCAAATACGTGTAGTTACACCTCTAGTAAGTAGTCGTAGCAACTTATTGTCTAACATTATGTCCCAGGGTTAGTTTACTTCAGAAGTATTCAGCGCATGCATTCCCTGTTGATGAGGTTCCAGTGGGCATGACAGATTTTGCACTATTTTATATTTAAAATATAAAAAAATATTTAATTTATTTTTAAGTGACTGATACACGCATGGGCCTACCGGGCACGTGCCCAGGGCACTAGACCAGAAGGGGAGCCCATGTGAAATACCGCTGTCCAAGGACCATGATTTCAACAAAGGGGATACCTCGGTTTATTTATTATCAAGCACTATTATAACAAAGCAATGTTAATTTTGGAATTGTACATTGTAATTTTAGTGATTTATTTTTGATTATGTATTTATAATTATTATTATTATTATTATTTGCAGTCTCCTTACAACAAATGTGGAAGCAAAATGGCTAAACAAAAAAAATTAACTACAGCCATATTATCTTCTTAAGGACAGACTTTTTATATTGCAGTTAATTTTTATTTTTTTAATGTATATGTTTAGCATCAAACATCTCTATATCCGCTGATAAAAAGTTTGTTAATCAACCAACAGTTTGGGGTTTATGTGACGTAAAGTTAACCCTGCTTTCTGGACTCTCTCCCCAGAAGCCTTGCACATTCATGTATTGCATAAAAAAGGCCAGCTTGGACATTTTGTTAAACTACTGCTTGTGTGTTGAACTATTCTTTATTCATCTCAATTAGCAAATATGCACAAAAAAACTTTGTGCACACAGAGTTCATAACTGTCTGTCTGTCATCAGCTTCCTGGAAGGAGATGAGGATGAAGACACAAACACAATCTCTCAAGATGACATAGCAGATGCAATTGACATCACTTCTGGATCAAAGGTGATAGGTCAACGATTTATTTTGAACACTACTGTTTATTATTAACCTTACTGGATTTTGTAGAGCTTGAAAATCAATATGTTGAAATTAACCTAGTATGTGGTATCAGTATCCCCTTTCACACATAAATTACCGTTAAGAGATTATAAACAGGGCTTTTTCAAAAGTACCGGTAATCAGTTTTGACAAATTTCAGTTATGAGAAGTTGTTACCAATAAATTAACATTGTTGCTATGTTTGAACAAGGCATTGTACCATGTCTCGTGCTTTTAAGAGCAAAAACATTTACGGCTGTGACTTGAATGTCAAAAATGTTGTCAAATTGGGCAGTAGATAAAAGTAAAGCACTTGTCATCCAGGGCAATAAAGAAAATGGTGCAGCATTTAAAGGTAATTTGCGATGATTAACATCACAGAGTTTACTGGTGTTTTGATGCTGATATATAATGGTCTGGAACTGGTAAAAAGACGCAACGCTGTTGCTTGTGTTAACAGCATATATGGTGTATTAACCAGAAAAGTCAATCTGGGAATTTTACACTAATTTATTGGGTTTAATGTGTGAAAAAAGCTAATACATTTCACAGATGGATGATTTCATGGTTGCTTTGAGATTAATATTAGCATTAATATTTTAATAATTGCAAAAAAGCAATATCATTCTTGACCAGTCAATCTAAATTTTTTTTGTGTGTCTATAATTTTAAGTTGATTTATTGTGTGGTTTCAGTTGGCTAAGTGTGCCAGTAAGAAATAGCAGTCTTAGATTTACAGACATTCTTTTTGCAAATAGTTCAGTGAGATTTTTGTATGAACAAGGAGTTCTATAGCAGATGGTGTGGCCCACACAGATCTGAGTTTACCATCACCGAGTCAGTTTTGGGTAACGTGAACAGACAGAAGCAATTGAGCTTAAATCCATAAAAGAACTGGGGCAACATCTCTGAGATGGCATTAGCTAATCCTTACAGTATTTATTCATCTTTGTTAACGTTAATTAATAAAACTACAACTGTTCATTGAAAAAATTAAATATGCCAAGGTATTAATTTTACGTATAGTAAAAATAAAAAGCCTTTAATTAACTGGGCTAAGTCATTAAAATTGTTAAAAGTGTAGATCAGATTTTAAAAGTGTAGTTCAGGGCCTGTATTCACAAAACATTTTATCTCACCACTAAGAGTTCTCCTAAATAGCAGTAAAAGTTTTTAGCTAAGAGTTTTCTCTTAAAACTAGGGATGCTCCGATTCCACTTTTTCCAGTACTCGACCGATACCGATACTTTTTTTTTTTGGTACTTGCCGATACCGAGTACCGATACCAATATTTTTATTGCATTTGTAAATTTTTTAAATATTGGGTACAGAAACCAAAAGAGTATGTATAATGTTAGTTGGTTAACTTTTATTTATCAAATAGACACAGTCAAACCAAAATTTATTCAGACACCTTCAACATTTCTCACATTATCACAGTTTATTCGCTATAGTTTAGAAAATGGTAATAAATTATAACAAGAACTCGAAACGGAGTCAGAACAAATTCAGCTTGATAATGTTAGATAACTTTGATAGAAAGGTATTGTAGCCTAATGGATTACAATCAACCAAAAATCAGACAGCTGTTAGTATGACAGTATTTACACAACTATCAATACTTAGTCGGGCAGCCATTAGCCTTAATGACAGCCTGTAGTCTCCTGGGCATGCTGTCATCCAGCTTCATGCAAACTTGACCTTCAATTTTTGGTCCCAAATTTGTATCAGTTTTACTGGTAGTCCACTGTATGAAGAAATTTGTCGGTATGATTTGTCACGGTTTACTTTATTTTGCTATCCTCACTTACATAAATGAACTATAGTGTCATGTACCCACTAGTAAAAAATATAAAAAATTATATCTGGTCTCTGAATAATTTTTGGTTTCACTGTATATCCTTCTGTTATTTTCACACTTAATTATGCCCATTAAAATGTATTTTAGAAGTTTTTGTTACTTTCACTGTTAATTTTTTGCTCTATGGTACATCATCTTTAATTTTATAGCATTAGAGCTGCTCCATTGCAGCGGCTTAGTACTGTAATCACGCGCTTTGCTGTAATAATGCAGTTATACATCTCCTAACTGTGATATTTTCAGAAATAGAAGTCGAAACATGCTGCGATTTATATTCCAAAGCCACTCATATAATGCAAAAACACTCAAGCAAGCAAAACGCGCAACGCGTGCACGTATTTGTACTGGTGCAGAATAGTACAGCCTAGCGCATTTGACACAAGCTGCTAGATTCACTTTCGCCAGAAAGTCGTGTATGCCTAAGGTTAAAAATAAATGATATTTATAGTGAATGCCACTATAAATGGTCTTATTTAAACGATTTAGTTTTTATCCAAATGATGCGTGTGCTAAGTGAGTGAACATCAAAGATCACACAACAGAAGTTAGTACGCTCTCTCTCTCTCTCTCTCTCTCTCCCTACCGTTAAGTAACTTGTGCATTGTTTTACTTGTTTTTGACGTATCCGACCGAACTACGAATTTTCCAGTGATGTCTGTGAGAAAGGTATATTCACTCGACAAGCTCACGCATCTGCGCCGCCGTGCGCTCAATCCACTCAGCGCGCTTTGCTTATCAACTCGCGCACATCAGCTATACAGGCGTTGATACTGAATTGTTTAACATTATATTCATTGCAGACATATACTTCGTAGACATCCTTAATCTCTAAAAACTCCATTCTGCTGTCTGTTGTTCTGTTTTCGGTGTTTCATTGTCTATGGCACTTATCACATGCTGTGTGGTATCGGCGCTTGGTATCGGGGCATTTTAACGAGTACGAGTACAGGAGTTCAGTATCGGGACCGATACCAGTATCGGTATCGGTGCATCCCTACTTAAAACCTATTCACAAAGCTGCTGAGACAAACTTTTACTAAGGAATAGAGAGATGTTTAGTAGGGATGGGCGGATTGATCTGTAAGTATCGATACTTTCGATCATCACATAAAAATATCGATTCTAAAGTGCATTTTGTAACCATTAATTGTATTTATCAAGAAATTTGGTGCATAAAATAAGCTTCTAAGTGGAAATATTATTAATAATTGTGTTGGATAGAACCATTTCTCCTGCTCATCGGAATACACGCAAATGCTGAAAGATAGAACCAATCAATCACAGACAGCATTCGCTGCTGACGCATGGCTCACAGTGCTTGTTCAAATAGGGCTGCATTTCCCAAAAGCATCACAAACATAAGTAGATCTTAAGAAACCATTGCCACATTATTACATTAGCCTACATAACATTGTTACTATATATAAAATTAATTCTGAAAAATTCATCACGGTTTCCACACAAATATGAAGCAGCAATAATAAATATTTCTTGAGCAGCAAATGATATTAGAATAATTTCTGAAGGATCATGTGACACTGAAGGAAAATTCAGCTTTGATCACAGATGCATTTTAAATTACATTTTAAAATATATTAAAATAGAAAAAAAAATCTTTTTAATGGTTAGATTTCACAATATTGCTGCTTTTGTTTTTTTTTGTGTTTTTTTCTTCAAATAAGTGCAGCCTTGGTGAGCATGAGACTTAAAAAATATTACGAAATCTTGCTGACCCCAAACTTTTGTGTACATGTAACATTTATTTTAAATTGGCTAGTTTGTGCAAGTACATTTATTTAAACTTGTTGTTAAAAGTTCAAATGGATTGTGTTATGTTTTGTAATTGCTGTTAATAAATCTGTCAGAAAAAAATATGCTAAAGTTTCACCTTTAGGGGTACAACAGCCTGGCAGCCTTTTACAAAAATTAACCATGGCTCTATTACAGTAACCACAGTTTACCATAGTATTTGTACTAAAACTGCAGTAACCACAAATTTACAATGGTAATAATAATACATTTTAGTACTTATGTAACACCATGTTTATTTCTCATGAGGTATCATCAAAGGTGCATCTTTGTAACTTATCTACCCTTAAAGCATGCGTACTTGTATGGCACTAATATGCTCCCTTTTAGGGATATAGTTGCACCTTTGAGGTTACTGCCCCAGTAAAGGGCTAAAATACAATTATAGTATATTTTATTTCTGACAGTGTAAACAAAAAAGGCCTATGGAATGTTAAATTGGCTTTAAAATCTAATATTAAATGAGTATAATTACTGATTATATTCTTTTAATAATTGAAAAGATCAGTTTAGTTTATAGGTATCAGTATCGATATCGACAATACTGGGCTTGAAAATATCGGTATTGGATCAAAAATAAAATAAGAGGTATCACCCATCCCTACCCTTTAGCTAAGAGTAAAGGGGCGGGGTTGACCTCGTTGCTATCGATGATGTCAGCATGATTACTAACTATGCTCACAGTGATTGGCTGATAGTCTCTGTCAGAGATTTATTCATAGAAATATTGTAGAGCACGATGTTGCCATATATAAAGGTATAAAAATACAAATTTTGCCACATTCAAATAAAGATTTTAAAATGCAGGATAAGTGTCACTAATTAAACAAGTATATGTTCAGCTAATTGTCAGCCTCTTACATGTATGTTTCGTAAACAATTAGTGAATATGCATATAAACAGCCTTTTAATTAACAGAGTAGAATAATCATGGCTAATAGTAATACATGCAAACGTAAAAACAAAAAAAAAACGGACGCAAGAACAGCTGTTACTTCTTGCCCAACTGGTTAATGAAAACAAGGATATAATCAAAGGACAATTTGGAGTTGGGATAACCTCCAAAACGATAGGCGATACCTAAAAAATTTTCTAAAATGTTTACATTCAGAGGCAGATTGCCGGCAACAGCCATTTTAGGATAGTTTGTGGTTTGATCTTAGTGACTTAGGAGTCCTCTTCATTACGCCTAACCTTTCACAGATTTAGGAGCTAGTTTTAGTGCTAAATCGCTTTGTGAAATACTCTTAGAGCAAAAATTTAGGATTGACACGCCCATTATTTTTAAGGTTTT